TAGTAAAATGGCTAGAGACCAGTGATACCATAAAGAATACTGATATAGTGAGTAGTAAGATAGCTAGAGACCAGTGACACCATAAAGAATACTGATATAGTGAGTAGTAAAATGGCTAGAGATCAGTGATACCATAAAGAATACTGATATAGTGAATAGTAAAATGGCTAGAGACCAGTGATACCATAAAGAATACTGATATAGTGAGTAGTAAAATGGCTAGAGATCAGTGATACCATAAAGAATACTGATATAGTGAATAGTAAAATGGCTAGAGACCAGTGATACCATAAAGAATACTGATATAGTGAGTAGTAAGATAGCTAGAGACCAGTGATACCATAAATAATACTAAACTCTAGCCATCTTACTACTCACTATAATGGTATCACTGGTATTCTTTCTGGTCTCTAGCCATCTTACTACTCACTATATCAGTATAATATGAATCACATAATGTAAAAGATGTTCCTCATGCATATAAATCCTTTTCACCCTAAAATTAGAAAATGTTCAGTTACATTACATTCAGTAAGTTATCTTGCTATTATTGAGTCAAGTTCCCAAAATACTTGCTTGTTACTAATTTCATCTAAACTTTGATAAAAACGATTAAAATACCCTAATCATTTGAGAGTATTTATGGCAGTACCGTCCCTTTACGCGAAACTGGCTTGTACCATCCATTTACACGAAACTGGCTTGTACCGTCCCTTTACACGAAACTGGCTTGTACCGTCCCTTTACACGAAACTGGTTTGTACCGTCCCTTTACACGAAACTGGTTTGTACCGTCCATTTACACGAAACTGGTTTGTACCGTCAATTCACACGAAACTGGTATGTACCATCCCTTTACACAAAACTGGTTTGTACTGTCCCTTTACACAAAACTGGTTTGTACTGTCATTCTACACAAAACTGGTTTCTCTTAACTTAAAATTTCTTTTCCATGCAAATATTGGAGTAGGACTTTCATAAGACTATCAGTAGCATAAACTTCACACATCCATGTGCAATTCCTTGACCATCAGTAGAATGAACTTCAAGCATGTGTGTGCAATTCCTTGACCATTAGTAGCTTGAACTTCAAACATCTGTGTGCAATTCCTTGACCATTAGTAGCTTGAACTTCAAACATCTGTGTGCAATTCCTTGACCATTAGTAGCTTGAACTTCAAACATCTGTGTGCAATTCCTTGACCATTAGTAGCTTGAACTTCAAACATCAGTGTGTGATTTTTTGACCATCAATAGCATGTAGTTCAAGCATCTGTGTGTGATTCCTTGACCATTAGTAACATTAACTTCAACATCTGTGTATCATTCCATGACCATTAGTAGCATGAACTTTAAACATTTGAATGAGGACTTATGTTAGTTGGTCCTGCACAAGACGTATCCTTACTCCACACAATAAATAACATACTATGTACCTAAGACACAAGACTTATCCTTACTCCACACAATAGACAACATACTACGTACCTAAGACACGAGACTTATCCTTACTCCACACAATAGACAACATACTACGTACCTAAGACACGAGACTTATCCTTACTCTACACAATAAATAACATACTATGTACCTAAGGCGAGATGCTTATCCTTACTCCACACAATAGACAACATACCTAAGACAAGATGTTTCTCCTTACAGCTGTTCATGCTATCTTGTAACCAGTTGTGAATGTAGCACATCAGATCCCAAGCAGGGTCACCAGCCACTTCTAAGTTTACTAGATACCTGGATTTAATAGAAAATTTCTTGTATGATATTTCATGACATAAACCTAAATTTACAAGGCATATAGGTTACAAATTTTACATCAAAGTTTGTCCTCAGTCTAATTTAGTCATTTTCTCTTACACACCTACCTACCTCTCCAGTGAAACAATGACTTCACACTAGAATTTTCTGTTCCAATATTCTTATAAGTCTATTTCAAGTAAGCACTTCATGCTTGCTTACAACGGGTCAAGTGTTTACCCAAAAAAACATGGAGACTGAACATGACAAACAAAAAATCTAACATTTTCTCTATTTCCTAAGTTTATTAAAAACAAGCAACAACCGAAATATTAACAAAATAATATCATCAGATGGCTATAACCTACATACAATAGCCATACCTCACTCCACACAGTTGACAGACTAAAATAATTGGGTTGATTGTGAAAGAAAAATTGGATTGATAATAGGAATAACTAATCATTACGAAAGAATGTTGTTGTTAGCCCTTCACAACAATAACATGTAAAAAGAAGATAAAATATTCATCTAAAGAAATGATTGATAACTTAAATCACATTTCAAAACCAACTGCAGAAAACTTAACAAAATTATCAAGGTGATGACAAAAAAAAAACTGCTTTTTACTCAAGATAAAATGTGAAATAACAAAAATCAATAAAATAAAATATAAGGAGCATTCTAAACTCCAAACAAGTTTCTTATAAATGTTTCTGGAACCAGTTTCAAACACGCTATTAGAGTTATAAATATAATTTGTGTCAATAATAAATGGACTTCCTCACCTGATCAACCTTTTCTGTTCATCTACAGGTGCGGGAAGCTTCTTCAAACGTTCACTTAACATTTCTCGAAACTTCTCAACTCTCTGTTCCACTTCCTGATACACTGGAAGACAGCAGATAGCTATGTTATATGTATGAAGAAAATTATCCAACATAGTGACATAAATTCAAACACTACTTGTTTTCATTACATTTTATTATACAAATTTATAATGGATCCAATCACAAGAATAAACATATCTCATTGTTTCAACCTACCCTTCCTAAATACGGCCACTTCTGTGTTATGAAATAGGGATTTAGCTCTTGCATAATCATTGATAACAACATCATAGTCACCCTGAAAAATAAACAGACCATATAAAATCAATCTGCACACAGAATCTCAGTATGTATAATATTTCAATGTAACTGTGATTCTGCAGAAACATCAAACAAAGTTATTATGTTAAGCCCTTATTTAGGTTCTCACAGCTGAAGTATAATTTTGGGCTTAATCAATGATGTAGCGGTAAAATGTTTCATGCCACAGCACCAACTAAATTTTAATACACTTATACATTATACATGCATTTTAGGCATTTAATAAGTTTATAATAACCTGCTACTTCACTTAACCTTCAGACTTATATAATTAGTTGGCATATCTGAGTGATAAAAGTACAATATACTATGTGTAGAATATACAGCATCTCTAGATAAAATAAGATCACTTGTATACATTCTATATTTTTTAAGTCATACTTTAAACCTACAAATTCAACAGTATAAAATACTATCTGTATAATTTAAGTTTATTTTACATTTACACATACTTATTTCAATACTTATAACAACAAATAAGTTATTTAGGTAAGATCAGCATTATTTAGTCCTTTGGTGGTTTTGTTAAAAAAACAACAACCAAAGTGCCAGTTGTTAAATAAATACAACCACAGTGGTTCTGTTAAAAAACAACAGCCAAAGTGCCAGTTGTTAAATAAATACAACAATGGTGGTTCTGTTAAAAAACAACAGCCAAAGTGCCAGTTGTTAAATAAATACAGCCACGGTGGTTCTGTTAAAAAAACAACAGCCAAAGTGCCAGTTGTTAAATAAATACAACCATGGTGGTTCTAAAAAACAACAGCCAAAGTGCCAGTTGTTAAATAAATACAACCATGATGGTTCTGTTAAAAAAAAGAACAGCCAAAGTGCCAGTTGTTAAATAAATACAACCACGGTGGTTCAGTTAAAAAAAACAGCCAAAGTGCCAGTTGTTAAATAAATACAATCATGGTGGGTCTGTTAAAAAAACAATAGCCAAAGTGCCAGTTGTTAAATAAATACAACCATGGTGGTTCTGTTAAAAAAACAACAGCCAAAGTGCCAGTTGTTAAATAAATACAACCACGGTGGTTCAGTTTGTATTTATTTAACAACTGGAGCCATGGTGGTTCTGTTAAAAAAACAACAGCCAAAGTGCCAGTTGTTAAATAAATACAACCACGGTGGTTCTGTTAAAAAAACAACAGCCAAAGTGCCAGTTGTTAAATAAATACAACCATGGCATTCTTTTCTACTCCAGCTCCATCACACCACTGGGTTTAACCCTCAACTGGTAGGGTCAGAATGACCCAACAGCAACAAATAATTACAATGGTAAGAAATAGAACTGCAACATCACATCTGCTCCACTCAACACTCAAGAACTGATTGAGGATAGAGTATAGACAATATCACACAGAGAGCAGCACTAGCTGAATTGGAATATTGACTTGAAAAGTCAACATAGGTTTTTCTGACCCCATCCAACCAGTTAAGGATTAATACAAACTACGTAGATCAGAACTAAACATAATGAGCATAAGTAAATCCTCTGTTGAAACTGTCTTACTTATAATGATTTCAATGCACTGTTTATGCAGTTGGATACCCTTGCTGCTAATAGTAGTTTTGGTTGTAAACTCAATAACATCCCACGAGGTTCGGCCAGCCCAGAAAATTTAGGTTAGTCCTAAATTCATTTACTAGGCTAACAATGCTGAATAATCGTTATAAATAAACATAAAAATAAAATTAGGAATTACAAAAAAAATCAATAAATAAAAGCTGATGTATTGAATTCTAATCAACACTAGAAAGATCTACCATACTGCAATAAAAGTTATACAGCTTGGTAGATTTAGCTAACAATGTGAAATAATCTTTATAACAACAAACTATAAATCAATTGAAAATTAGTTTAATAAATAAAATAAACAGTAATGTTAATGAAGGTAGCTTTAAAGAAATGATAACGAGTAACTGAATTACAAAATAATTTGATTTAGTTTGTATTCAACAACAACTGATACTCAATACTTTACCTTCTGGATGTTTCTCTCAATGCTAGCAGGAAGATTGAAAAGAAACTTGAATCGCTGGAGAGCACTTAAAGCATTCCGTGTGGCATCAGCTCGGTCTTTACGTGCAAGAACAGCTTCAAATAATGAGTCTGCTTCCTTCTTGCTTTCTAAAAGTCAAAATTAAGATCTGCATGAAACCTAAAACCTCAGGTGAAACTACACAAACAAAGATAATATTCTAAATTTTACAATCTCTAAATGTCAAAAGAAAGGATGTTATAATAAATAAAGAAAATATTATGAAGTTTTTATATGTAAATGATGTTCTTTATGTACTTTTTATTTCCCAAAATCATACATAAGTTGCACAAACACAAGTCATGATGATGTTGGAGGTACATAATAAACATTAAATAGGATTGATAAACACAAATCATAACGACAATATAGGAATATAATCAACATTACATAATATGAATAAACAAATCATGATGACAATGCTGGCATATAATAAACATTACACAACACAGATAAACACAAACCATGACAACAATATAGGAATATAATCAACATTACATAAGATAGATATACACAAACAATAATGAGAGTACTGGTTTATAATGAACATTACATAACACAGATAAACATAAGTCATGATGACAATGCTGGCATATAATGAACATTACACAAGATGGATAAACACCAACCATGATGACAATGCTGGCTTATAAAGAACATTACTTAAGATGGATAAACACCAACCATGATGACAATGCTGACTTATAAAGAACATTACACAAGATGGATAAACACCAACCATGATGACAATGCTGACTTATAAAGAACATTACATAAGATGGATAAACACAAACCATGGTGACAATGCTGACTTATAAAGAACATTACTTAAGATGGATAAACACAAACCATGATGACAATGCTGACTTATAAAGAACATTACATAAGATGGATAAACACCAACCATAATGACAATGCTGACTTATAAAGAACATTACATAAGATGGATAAACACCAACCATAATGACAATGCTGGCTTATAAAGAACATTACATAAGATGGATAAACACCAACCATGATGACAATGCTGGCTTATAAAGAACATTACATAAGATGGATAAACACCAACCATAATGACAATGCTGGCTTATAAAGAACATTACATAAGATGGATAAACACAAACCATGATGACAATGCTGACTTATAAAGAACATTACATAAGATGGATAAACACAAACCATGATGACAATGCTGACTTATAATGTTAGAACTTTAGGTTGTGGTAACTGTTAGCATTAGATGTTATTACTTTGTGGTAATGAAAATTATGAAAATAAAATATTAGAAATTTTTATGTGATTCCACAGATACCCTGATAATAATGATGGTAACATGTAGAGGGAGAGAGAGAGAGAGAGATCTTTATGGTTTCAATAATCTTCTATCCACTTGATTTTCCATACCTCATAATATAATGGACATAGCATATGTCATTATATATGTATGTAACCAAAACTCCTGCTTCATCTATTGAATGGCACCAAAAACAAAAATCCATGAAAAACTTCACACTTTGGGTATTCAATTTCAGAAAACTAGAAAAAACCTGTAGTATGTGCAACAACCATTTCTTTATAATAGAACACAATTTTAAATAAAAGTACTCTTCTCACAACAAGAACACAACTTTCACAAGGACTGTACGTGAGGGTTTGATTATATGTTTATTGATATAATTTTTAAATGTAGTACTGAGAATCTGGAATTCTTAAAAAACTATTATTTTTTCAATAAACAGTACTACTTTTAATATATAAAAACATTACAGTTTATATCAGTAAAATCTATGAACATTTTGAGCTCTGTACATTGAATAATTTTGATACAATGAGTTGCGTATGACTAAAGAGCACAATCCGAACACTTTTACATGCAGTACTTCCCAGAGAAAAATCCTTTTTTTGAAAATACTAATTTTTCTAAATTTTTTTCAATCAGGTATGAATACTACGATTAGTAATTACTAGCACAAACAATCACTCATAGGGCAGCTTTTCAGCTAGTTTGCATAATAGTCATAGAATATTTTCCTTTTATTCCTGTACAGGTATTTAAGGGAACTTAAAAGATATTCTAATAAAGTTTGAACGAAAAATTAAAAGCTTATTTCAATAAGGAACTTACTAACAACAGCCTCCTCTAATTTCTCAGTTAAGTCAGTACCAACTTCTTGTTTATCTTTCTTCTGTGCTGTTTGGAGTGCTGAAGCAGAAATTCTATATTAAAGCTGATAATATCAAAGAGAATACTGAACTTATGTTGAAAACTGATATACTACATTTACTCAAGGTACTTTGACCAGTTACTGATCTTGTCAGCCAATCATCTGTGACTATTTTTGTTTATTAATTCACTCTTTGGATTTTTGGGTTTTGAGTTTTTATAAATCAAATCAATAATGCAACCAAACAGTTCTGGATATGGTTCTTGAAAATCAATTCAAAGCATATGTATATTGAAAGAAACTATACAGTTAAGCCTTATTCAGTTGTTATAGTAATGTAAGCATTACTAAGTGTTTTAAGCATTATGAAAACCATCTAAGATATCATCAACTTACATTCTAGGACCTGGAAACATTCAACAATTGCCATTACATTAGATTTTAAGAAGGATAAAGGTCCTTCTTGATGCTGCGTAACTTTTCTTCGTAGGCATGTCAGTCCAGCCTTCAAATCGTCAAAACTACATACAGTTAAAAGTTCTCATTAAACTCCTAATTCATAGCTAAAACTAATAGCATGAAATACATGCATGTACATTGCTGAAATTAACTTTTTTAGCCACTAACAAATGTTTACCAGTATTATAAAAATTACTTGCAAAAGTGCCAGCCCCATAGAAATAAAAAACGTTTCACAAGTCACAGGATCTTAGCAGATATAACTAGTTAGCTGACATGAATGTCCAGGAACACTGCAGTTTTAATTTCATGTTTTTTAATATGCATTTAAGTTCTCTTATCTATACTTTTAATAACAATTACATCAACTAATAAAAAACAAATGCAAAGAAATTCTATCTATTGTTTTTACTTCCTATTTCAAACTTGACAAATCCACATGAAAATAAAAATCTGTAGATGGCTTGACTGGGTAATGAAAGAAAAAACTTTATTACAAATGTATGATGTTACAACAAGATTATGTCATCCACAGGTACAAGTAGTTTATAGAGACACGTGAATATATATACAGTGTGAAACAAAGAAGTCACATGACCGGAGATTGATTCACAGTCTAGTAATAGGTATCTTAATACCCTAGAGTGTTGGTTTAGGGTGAGACTGTTTTGTTAAATTAAGATAGCTTCCTATATTCTGCATTTATTGATGTTTGGTTCTTTGTTTAAAATTACAGTGTTTTGTATAGATATACCTTTACATAATTAAACAAAGCATTTGTGATCACATTAGGTCAGAGACATACTGTTGTTTGGTTTAGTTTGTTTTTAATGTTTCACAAAGCTACATAATGACTATGTATGCTTGGAGATGGCTTGAATGGGTTATGAAGAAAAACTTTAATACAAGTTTAACATAACAGCAAAGTGGGTTCCTCGTCATCGAATAACGACTATCTCTCCTAGACATCCCTAACTTAACAGTGATAGACTAGAGAAAAGGCAGATAGTCAACATCACCCACTGTCAGCTGTTTTATCTACAAATAGTGGGATTGCTCATCACATTATAGTGCCCCCATGGCTGAAAGGGTGAGCATGTTCAATGATGGGGATTCAAACTCTCAACATACAGATTGTAAGCTGAGCAACCTAACCACCAGGCCCTGCTAAGCCTTCTATTATTGTACAAGTCCAACAAAAATCAACAACACTACAAGTAACCTAACCATCAGGCCATGCTAAGCCTTCTATTGTTGTAAAAGTCCAACAAAAATCAACAACACTACAAGTAACCTAACCACCAGGCCATGCTAAGCCTTCTATTATTGTACAAGTCCAACAAAAATCAACAACACTACAAGTAACCTAACCACCAGGCCATACTAAGCCTTCTATTGTTGTACAAGTCCAACAAAAATCAACAACACTACAAGTAACCTAACCACCAGGCCATGCTAGGCTTTCTATTGTTGTACAAGTCCAACAAAAATCATCAACACTAAAAGTATTAGCAATAGTTTGTATCTTGAAATAAGTTTCAATTGAAAAATAAATTTACTCATATAGAAATGTATGTTTGAAGCCAATCTAATATTTTTTAATTCACCTAAGATCAAGAAACCTTCACAAATCATGAAACACTACTTGCATCCCCACCACCTATTGCAAAAATGAATAAAGATGATTAGTTGAATACATATAAGTACATCAACTTATACCATTAGTTTTTTAAAAAACATACTAAAACAGTAATTTCACTGTCACATAATGCATAATACTAGTAATATTTACTAAGAGCATGTTTAGAATAATTGAAAGTAGGGACAATAATAAACACTTACAAGAAACAGAGTACTGCGTGTTGATAAATGTATTAGTTGTTAGACAAATTTAGATTCCATATACAAACTTTATTTTCTTAAATTTAGTTTCAACAACATACATAACTACACGTTTTTTAAGTAAACTAACTTTGTTAGCAGAACATGTTTGTGAACTACTAGTTTTATGAATTTTTTCAGTTTCAAGGAATAGGTTTAGCTCTTCGTAAATAACTAATATAATAGATGCAGTAGAGTGACCTAAGTTTTATCTTACATTTTGTTTCTGAATAAAACATATCTATTTATAAATTGTAAAAGGCTTAACAATATTTAATAATTAGAAACAGAATGTAATGGTTATTGGTAATTGTGTGGAATATAAATGTAAACCAAAAAGGAGCATATACTCTGCAGAACCTACCTGGCTCCATGGTGGTTCTCTAGCAAATACCACATGGGAACAAAGTTCTCGGATAACACATTACCAGATCCTACAGACAAATGGCTTTATAAATTTCAGTTTTCTGATCCAAATACACAAAAAAAGCACTGTATTTCTAGTAATCATAACTGAAAAAAAAAGGCAAAAAAATTTAAAGATTAAATGTTCAAAAAGCATTCACTGCTGGGTAGAAAGAAAAAGAAAATTCTAAAGGTGAAATTACATATTACTTTTTTTACTTCAAATACTTACCTACATCATCTCCTGCAATGAACTTTAGTAAAAAAACCATCTTCTCTCCATATAAACATCCCTAATTTAGCAGTGAAAGACTAGAGTAAAGGGAGCTAGTCAACACCACCCACTATGAACTTTTTGGTTACTCCTTTACCAACAAATAGTGAGATTGACTATCACATTAGATTTCCCCTACACTTGAAAGGGCAACAGTTGTTTAGCAATAGGGATTGAAACCTGCAACTCGCACGTTGCAACTCTAGCACCCTAACCATCAGGCCATGCCAGATCTCAAAATATACTCTGTGATACTGAAACTGTGTGTGATTTAAAGACTGGAGAACTGGCAGAAAAATTATAAAATTCACATTTACAAACTTGTTATTCAATACCTGAGGAAGGCCATTACTACCCAAAAAGTTATTTTCCAAAGTGTTTCAGTTTTATTTTTACCTTTTATAAGACCTCACTGATTGTATAAGCTCAATAAAACTATAACATATTTCAAATACACAGGAAAAGCAAAAACTAGCCTATGGGCTCTATTGCATACACTCCATTGTTCAACATTTTTCTTCTGTTAAATATCTATCACAGTGCCAGATTATCATTTTTTGAAGGCAACATATTTGAGATAATTTAATATTTTGTTTCTGTATAGATCTATCATCATCATTTATTAATGTCAAATGAATCTTGGTCAAGTTAAGGTTTTGTTGAACTTAATTGAGTTAGCAAAAGAATACGAGCCAAGCACAATGATACACAAATTAGACCTTTTTTCTTTTATCATTAACATATCTTTTCAATATTTTATTAACATTACAGTTAACTTACCATCAGGAAATGTATCATGCAACTCTTCTACTGGAAAACGGCCTCTGGTGGTGGAACAAAGAAAAAATTAAATTTTTTGTATACATGTTTTTTAAACTAACTAAATTAATAATACAGTACACTTACATAAATAATTTCAACAAATGTTAAACAAAGATTTAGTTCATACAACTCAAATTTACATAGTACATGTAAACTAAAATACACAGAAAAATTCCACCAAATGTTCTATTATTACTGGGGTATAAAACAAACTGGTACAGTAGTACTTTTTTAGATATGACTGACTTATAAATGTTCTATTATTACTGGGGTATAAAACCAAATGGTACAGTAGTCCCTCTTAGATACGACTGACTTATAAATGTTCTATTATTACTGGGGTATAAAACCAACTGGTACAGTAGTCCCTCTTAGATACGACTGACTTATAAATGTTCTATTATTACTGGGGTATAAAACAAACTGGTGCAGTAGTCCCTCTTAGATACGACTGACTTATAAATGTTCTATTATTACTGGGGTATAAAACCAACTGGTACAGTAGTCCCTCTTAGATACGACTGACTTATAAATGTTCTATTACTACTGGGGTATAAAACAAACTGGTACAGTAGTCCCTCTTAGATACGACTGATTTATAAATGTTCTATTATTACTGGGGTTTAAAACAAACTGGTACAGTAGTCCCTCTTAGATACGACTGATTTATAAATGTTCTATTATTACTGGGGTATAAAACAAACTGGTACAGTAGTCCTTCTTAGAAACGACTGACTTATCTGTCATGATAAAAATGTCACATCTGACAGGAAGTCGTTATTCAAAAGATCAACAACCAGATAACGAACAACCGAGTTCAAGCTGTGCCACTTGCTATTCCCAGGGGTTGAGCATAATGGTTTGTATACTGTATAGGTAGTCAGATAACGTAGCAAGTTGGTATAATAATAGTTATGATGGATAACAGTTCAATAAAGATAACTTAAAATTGTTTTGTTTTATGTAAAATAATATTCATCAATCACATTTATTTCATAAACATCTAGGTATCACATTTTTATTACATACATATAAAATATTACAAACTAACACAAAACTTATTTCATAAAAAAATCCTCCATCTTTGTTTGTTTTGCACATTTAACGGAGTCGCTCTGAATGTTCACGAGTCTGGCAGTTATTATATCAAGAAGTGTTTCATTATTAGTTTTCAGCACACAATTTGAGCATCAATTTATAAAATAATATGCAATAAATTTCCAGAATTCTACAGAGAAATCAGTAAAAAAACTGGTAACCAGATTCACCGAACATAATAAAAAAAACACATATTTACCACCATTGCAACTCAAAAAATCCACAGTATATCTACACATAGCACTGTAATTTTAAACAAAGAACCAAACATTGGAAGCTACATATTTTAATTGAATGAAACAGCCCCACCCTAAACCAAAATTTCACCTTCAAACTTGGATCCTATGATCTCAGCTTTGAAAAGGGACCATTCCACAAATTTAAAAGAATCAGTAAAGAAATAAGAATAAATATCTGAACTAGACTCTAGCCAATTCCTAATAAGGTAATTCTCTATGAATACAAATACTACATAAAATGTACTGAACTAGACTCTAGCCAATTCCTAATAAGGTAATTCTCTATGAATACAAATACTACATAAAATGTAATATGTTGCATTAAACCAATTTCAAGTGGATTAAAAATTCTCTAGCTTCCATATTTTGTTACTTTTGTTACAACTTTGGTCTATATCAACGTCCATGTCACGTTTCTATATCAGCACTTTGAGCCTTCTTCAGAGTGACTTCCTGTTCTCAGCATGAGACAATCGCAGCTTTCATTAGCCATGGTTACCGCACAGATTAGTCGAGTCTGTCACTCAACAAACCATGAGTTAACAATCTTCACACCTCACTATTAAATCCTAATCAAGCTCAAACACTACTACATTCACTAAAAGAATAAACCTTAATTCCACAGTTTTTGACTGCCCCTGGTTACCTTTCAGGACCTGAAAGTTTTTAAAACAAAACACCTATGTGTACATACCAAGGAGTTTGACTTGAATACCCCAGGGTACACACCAAACTGTGAAGCAATCTCCAGTCATGTGACCTCTTTGTTTCATATACACCAAACTGTGAAGCAATCTCCAGTCATGTGACCTCTTTGTTTCATATACACCAAACTGTGAAGCAATCTCCAGTCATGTGACCTCTTTGTTTCATATACACCAAACTGTGAAGCAATCTCCAGTCATGTGACCTCTTTGTTTCATAT